CAACAGTTTATAAAACTGTAGGAATAGTCTTAGAAGGGTCATCCAAGTTTCTGTCATTTTGTCTTCTATCCCCCACATATTTGGAACATCCTGTACAACAGACAGAAGAAAAAAAAAAAAAGCATCAAGGATTTTTTCAGCGTATTGTTCAGCATGTGTCAGTGGTTTGTCCAAGACAAATTATGCTCTGTGAAATGGTGACCATGAAAAGCAAGTACGGAGCAAATCATCTGTACATACGTTAGAGCAAGGACACTGCCGAATTGGTGCATTGACTGATGCTGACAATTCATGCGGATTTCTTGTGAACCAGTAATAAAATTCATGGCTACTTCTGAATACCTTTAGCTTGACCCTTTTTTTTTATGGGCTTCCACAGCTTTATCCCACTGTGGAAGGGAAGATGATGTATAAACTAAGCTAAGCTGAATCGAGAGGGCTCATGTTCATCATACATATGTGACTTAGAGCTCCAGTGACAGATTACATACAAGTTGCACTACGTTAGGTAATGTTCAGTTTTTTCAGTCCCACTTTTCTCATTTCCTCGAAAAAAACTGTTACATGCAGCACTACACAAAGCATGGGAATGGCTGGATTCGACAGGCGTGAGAATCCTGATCCTTTTCTGTGTACTCAAAGCCATCTCAGCTCTTTTCAGCAATGGAGGCACAACTGGATGGTGCTACAGCAGATTCCAGTGGTGAATGGAGTTATCACTGAAGAATGGGAGAGAGACAGGGAGGGGCTGAAAAGGCAGTTTGGAAAGGGGAGGCTGTTTGTAAATGAGGCTGGTCCTGTTAGCGTTCAGAAGAGCAGAGGGCATGGGATTGGAGGATCAGTGTGGCTTAGGACATGCTTTGATTGCGCGAGAATTAAGAGGTGTAGTGACTGGTGTTTAGATCTTCAGAGCAAAAGAGAACAGCGAGATGGCTTCTACAATGCAGATCTCTAGGTAAAGCATATGAACCAGTCAATGGAAATTACAGTGTTTAAGGGCAGCTAAGCCTAGGAGCCCCAGAAAAAGCTACAATGTCAGGTAGAGAGGTATTAGTAACAGAGGAGAATGGACATGTACATTGGTGCATGCGCACGTACATCAGTGCAACCCTCCCACACAGCCTAACTTTAGCAATCTTATTGTATACGAACAGAAATTATCATGTTGATTATAATATTTGAATTTACTTCTGCGTATCAAGCCCACTTTGATGTCAAAGTGATGTGAGTCTTCTGTGGGATTATTACCTTTTATGAAGTTCTCCAATCCTGTTTGGAAACAGAAAAGAAAAAACAAACCTGTAAAGGAACCTTTGGATATCTTCCCGTTCACAGCAGTGCTTATGTTTTCTAATGTTTAAGAAGTTTCTGTAAAGAAGCCACCCATCCTGGGACTGCAAAGGAGAAGGTGAAAAAGCAGATAGCCTTCACTTCAATGTATTTGAACCATACTGAGTTAAGACCTTATTCCCTATTTAATTGGAAACTTGGAAATAAGCAGGAATAAAGCAGAACAGATGGGATTCCACTTTAAAAATTAGTAATGGATAAACAATAATATTGCCCTAGTATAGCGAGGAGAGGCTTATTAAATGAGGGAAGTGATTGAAATGGGAAAATATGTTTTGGATTGCTGTTTGTTTGGGATTTAAAAGGCAGAAGTGAGCCTTCCCCCTCAACAATTCCTAGCTCACTGACTAGTCTGACTCAATTCCTCATAAAATCAGCAATATTCTTCCCATTGTGTGTAATGGGTGCACAGGAGCTTCTCCTTTGTAGCTCTGGACAGGAACTTCTGCTACTAATAATC